CCCTGAGAGAATTGGGAAAGCTAAAGCAGGAGAATCTGCAACCAAACCAATATATACCGGGATATTTGAACCTTCGAATAGATCTAATACAAACTATTGCCTATGTAAGTGTTCGTCCATGTCGTGGTTCTTCCATACCAAAGTGACACGTTGTGGGGTCACATCATGGAAATAGACTAATCGAGTGGGCAGACAACCGGCGAACTTTCACATGGGATGGACTAGTTGAGGCTTGACGAGGAAAGGAGAGTAGATTCTGCATCACTCACTGAAAAGGAAGAGCCAACTCGTGACTTAGAGCCGACCGATGAAAGGGCTATGCCAGCCGGCCCTCACCTGCAGTCTAAGAAGGGCGGGAAAAGAAAGCGAGAACTAGCGCTTCTAGGTAGACTCAGACAGCCGCAGCAACTGTGAAAGATTAGGTCATGTTATCCGAAACTTCAAGCACATGCAAAATGCCAATGACGATGAACAACTGAACTTAATCTAGCTGTAGCCAGCTAGCTGGCGAGCACCAAAGGTGCTTGAGAAAAAAGGAAGGTGTTTCACTAGACTTCAGCACAGTGAAACATTTGGGGCCGTACTACGGGTCGATTCCGCGCTGGTACAGGCTAACGTTTAGTAATCATATCCAAGGAGACGGTACAGAAGTGCAGTCTGCCTGCACAATCGTTAGCGCTGTACCATAGGCTCAGGGTTGCTGACGGCTAGCAGGACACAACGGCTGACGAAGTTTCGGCAGTTTTATGCTACTCCAGTCGGAATCAGCTTAAATCTACCTGCTTTCTGACTTCTATGGTGGTCTTGTACACCATGACGTACTCCGGAGCGTGCTATGGGTGACCGGGTGGAAGGAGCTAAAGGGGGTGCATGCGGCCACAGCTGTGCGTTGTGGAGGTTAGGGTGGCAGGGAGCGGTAAGAAGAAGCGCTTCGTGCAAGGCTCAAACACGTTCACTGCGTGGATGATGAGCAGTGTAGAGTACACTCCACAACAAGATGAGGCAGAGTTTTTATGCTGGCGGCTGAGCAGCACAGTACGAGAAGACGGTTCTAAGCATGCATCCATTCTTAGTGTCTCTACGACCGCATTTTTTTTCTGAAGTATATGATTAAGTGCCAAGCCGAACACTAGCAGGAATGAGTTAATATCAAGGAGGACTTAGTGAATGCGCTAAATAATGACAAGCTGCGAGCAGGCTCGCCGTCTGCTTGCCATCCTGCCCGCCATATCGGGCAGGAACAAATGTCAGCCTAAAGCTATGTTGAGCGTAATTGGAAGCCTCGACATCATAAAGATAATCTTCTTTGGCAGGCGGAAGACTTGGTGGACTAGGCAAAGTACATAATCATACAAAGCATAATCTTGTATGGATGCCGACGAAGAACGGAAGGTGGTGCATGTGCATTACCTTCAGGCTCCTTAACAAGATAACTGCGAAGCTTAAGTTACCAATGCTTTGATTTGACGAGCTGTACGACAAATCACACCTTTCACTGTCTGCTTGGAGTTCGAATTCGCAGACGGTTTCTTGTAATTCTTATTCACCCTGATGCTAGGAACAAAACGACGTTACACACTTGCACTCGGAGACTGGAGTAAACATGTAGGTCATAAAAAGCTTTTTATTGCTCTAGTTGAACTGCAATGTCAATCTACCCGGATAATCATAAGCATATCAATGGGAGGGCTGTCTACATGGACGAAAGCTTAGTCTTCAACCAAAGCGTTCAAAAGGGCCTGAAGCATGTTAGGCATGCGAATCCGCTAGTGCCAGACAAGCAGTGGTATCCGGAAGTACACAAGTGTTTGCTTTTTATGAGATAAAGTGGGCAACTGGGTCTTTACTTCGTGCAAAATATTTCTTAAGAAGCGATTTTTGCTACCAATTGAAGCAATTAATGCGTGGTCTTTCTATTCATCCAACAGCGGAGACGTTGCAAAATTGTGTGCAGTCTGATCTTTTTCCCGCTGCTCTTTTGTGGGTATGCTCAGATTTATGATTGTTGTGCTTATATACTCAAGAAAAGGAAGCCCATCACCTGGACAGACGATGACGATGCTGCATGAGAGATACTTCTCTGCTGCCTTACAACCCCTGCAGCACTAGCTTTGCCCAATTATGGTGTCATTGCATTTCAACAAGCAATGCAAATAGAGTAGCGGTGGGTGCCCTTCGTTTCCGACAGACTATGAGCTTTCTTAAAATCCAAATTATTACTTATTATTTCTATTGCTTTACCCTTAACAAGCAGCGGTATTCAAAAAAAAGGGATTGTCTGCGGTATGGTGGGGCGTGTAGAATGTACCTTGCGAAGCGTTATCAGGGCTTTAATTATTATAGAGCTGTTTTCTGCTTTGGGCGCCACACAAATCTCAGCGCTTCGACTACACTACCATCGCCTCGCTAGGGTCGTGTTGGCTTGGTTCTTCGTTAATTGTTGCCTGGAGCTTGTACACTTTTCCCATTCGAGTTTGCTTATGGGATTGACGCACACATTTGTTTATATAAATTTGTTCGCGCTTCTGTTTGCCGATGGTGGGGACATAGACCAGGAACTGTTCCGCGCTTCGGCATGCAGCTGGTCTCGATATAAACGTAAGGAACACGAAGACATGATGTTTCAAAAAAGCAGGCAGGAGTGAATGTAGAGGTATTAGCTATACCTAAACACTTTTGCGTGACACTAATTATAATAAGCTATTAACTACTAAAGGCTTGACTAAAGGGTTTGGCTGTGAGGTGTATACCTTATTTATTGCAGTGTGCTCTTAGTACAATACAGGGGGACGCACTATAATCTGTGTGTGCGTTTGTGTGCGCGCGCTAAATGCAGTGGTGATTGGTGGGAGTGTTTCGGGTGTGTAGCTTGAGCACTGTAGCCGTCTTTTCCCCCTAAGAATCCAAAACTCTGGAGGGCGGACAGGGGAGGGCCCAAGTTGTTGTTTTAAAAACGCTCAATAACGTTTCACCTAGTTGTAGTGAGTCTGGAGGTAAGTGTCCTCCTACGGAGACTCTAGGTGAAGCGTTACACTCTGTCGTGCTAAGTCAGTGAGTAAATCTGGCTGGATGCCCGCCTCCTTGAGGAGTGCATTAACTTAACCTCCAGCGTGTGAACCATTGTTTTGAGCATGTGCCCCCAGTGATATGGAACTGTGGTAAGGTGTCTCTAAAGGCAAATGCCGAGTGAACCGCCCCCTTATTTCAATAGTGGAGTCCAATGGTGTGAGCGTGAGGAGTCAAGGGATCGCTTTTGAAGAAAAATAGTATCACATTTTCCTAGGGCTTTTTGTGGCTTGCGGTCCAAGGATCTCCAAAACAAACACCGTACACGGACGGCTCCTCCCACATACTTGTGCTCGACTCATCTTTACCCAGCGATCCACATGTACAACCACGTTCGCTTTCTTTCGCAGGCAATTTTACGCATCTTAGGTCTCTCTTTTGATGCACAGACGGTGGAACGCCCTAGCAGCTCTAACTGCAACACTGAGAGCCACCCAGGGAGCCACGCGGTGAATCACCTGATCACGCAGCAACTGCAGCGCAAGACCTCGAATATCCAGGAAACGCATAAGCTGCGCTAGTGGAACGAGTACAATCCCACAGGGTTGTGCTAGATCAATCGAGCAATGCAAGCTCTGTGCCGACAATACATGGGGCCTAGCTACATTTTAGCACTTTCTGCTACACCAGTTATATGTAACGACCAACTAGTAGTATTCGTTGCACCGAAGCGGTAGCTTGATACGGAAAGAATAGATATTGTAAGCCTTTGCGCTCCAGGTTATTGTCTGTAAACTATTTGTGAAGGGGCGGAGTTTTCAGAGGAAGTAACACTGCGCACTGTAGCTAGCTGGCCCCATCCCTGCATGCCAGAACTTTGAGGGGCAGGGCAAGGCTAGGAAAAGGGGGACCACTTTGAAATGGAGGCTTGAGAACGCTGCGTGCGTAAATCTTTTATTGGGATTCGGGACGAATTATCTTCTATGGAGGTTCTTGGCGGGTATCACACTAACTTGAAGGGAAGTCGCACTAGAGGACGGAAGCTAGATCAGTTGCAGTAAGAATATGACCCGTGCTATACTGCACAGTATCGAGCTGCAAAGAAGGCTTATCACGACCAGAGGGGGGCCCCTGACGAAACCATAAATTGAAGTTCCTTCTAAACGCAGCAACTCATGCTTGACGGCTCGTGAAATAATAACGTGGGATTTTACCTTCGCCTAAAGGCGGAAGCACAAAGCGCAACAATTTTAGAGGCATTTTTTGCATAAGGAGCAAGAGCCGAAGCAGTTCAACTGGCGTACTCTTACCAGCGCGCACACCGGAGACTGAATGAAAGAGCGACAAGCAACATCCGCCCCCCCCCCCCCCGCTTCCACAACAATTGTTGTGTTGAGATGTTGCTTAGCATGGATTTTCCAGTGTTTGATTAGGGTGAAATGGGAGCGTGGAGAGGGGGAGGCGGGCACAGTGGGACTGCGATCCCGTTGGTTTCTCTTTCTCTGGCTGGGGGCCCCCCAAGAGGTCCGTTCCGTGGTAAAGGGGTGCTGGCTGCACGCGCTGCGCTCAAGGGGTGTCGCGGGAAGACTGGATGTGTAGTATTTAATCAATAGTTTTATGCAGTTCCTGCAATAAGGAGCTTCGCCGTCGAGTCCAATTCTGCTCCTCCGCAGAAGAAGGGACCCCTCTCTCAGTCCCTGGGCTGCTGCCAGATCTGGTGGTGTTAGTGTTGGTCCGGCTCGCACCCTTCTTCTGAATTTTCGCATTTTGTCTTTTTCCTATCTTCCCGCCTCGCAGGTCTGCAGCTGTGCAGGGGCCGCGCGGCTCGCGTATTGTCTCGTCTACGGATCTCCTGAATGATCCCGGCGTTCTTCCTCTCCGTGGTCTGTCTCAGCCTCCAGCTGCATCTGGCACTGGATCCCTGAGAAGGGCCCCCTTTGCAAGGGGCCCTTGCTGCACTGGGTGGTCTCGCGACTACAGGCGAGAATAAGAACATGTTCTTCTTGTCTCCTTGTTTGAGGGGCTGGAGGCAGAGAGGCTGGCGTTGGGAAGCTATGCAGAGGGGCCGCCATCGGTGGGTGCACATAGATTATCCTCCACGGAAGCGTTCTACTGTTAAGAAGGTGAGTTGTATGCCTGACGACGGTGCCCACATTCATGGCGAAGCCGACTTCGCTGACGAACATCCCCGTTTTTTTCAACCGGCTTCCAGTGCAATATTTGCCCCTGAATAGGCACGTACCTAACTGGGATTGCGCTCAGCCAGCTACCCTTCACAAATACATAATTCTATTCTCAACCCCCTCCCACGCATTGCATCCTCTATGGCTCCCGTCCCAGGCTCCCACTCCCTCTGTGGCGGCACTCGTTTTGTATTGCTACTCTCTGTGCCACCCTTCCCCTGCCCTGTCCTTCCTCCTTCGTGCCTGATCTTTCCTGACGGGCGCGAGAAAGAGGCATGGAGAAAGAAAGATACCGCTTTTCAGACAGACTGTTCTGCAGGCTTCCCTTAAGGTGGCCAGACGTCCTTCAGTGCTGCTTTGCCCTCTGTGTGTATGCTCCCAGCTGCACGAGAGCCACGACAAGCTGATCTTCGTCTGTCAGGGATACAGAGACCGTCTCCTGTCGGAAAAGCTACCTCCCGAGTTGCAGAAGCGTCTGCAAGAACTGAAGGATAGCCCTGTGCCGCTATATGATAGGCGCTTGCCGTGGTCGCAAGACCTTCAGAGTAAGAGCCGGCCCTTACCCTCCATCTTCTACTCCTGCGTCAGTATACGGGGAATACGACCTCTCGAGTTTTACCACCGTTGCCTCGCGGCTTTCTTCAGGATTGGGATCTTAAATCTGTGTTGCAGCGCTGCTTTCACACATGTTGGAGAGAGGACACGCCTTCTCCGTCCAGCCCCTTTGGGGATTTCAGCTGCAATAACCGGGAAGTGTTCATGGCGGGCTGCGAGGTTGTGCTTGTGGTATCACGCAGAAGCCATTCAACGCACGGCAGTCCCTTGTGTGGCTTTCGCTACTGGGCGCACTCACCAGTGCGTCTAAAGTCCCTCTTTGCGGTAACCGCAACATCAACTGTCGCTGCAGTTCCCGTGCATCCACCCACAACCACATACATATATATATGCATGCAACCCCGTGAAGTGTACGTGCACCTACTTTAGGGTGTCTGTGCAGCTTGTTGGAGGCCTTTACGATGGAAGAGGTTTTCGCCCTAGAGAAACTCGTCCCCGAGATACTTCAGGGCTTCGCGGGTGGGTACTGGGCGGGAGAGGGGAGACCCACCTCTGTGTGTTAAGTGCCGTACGAGGTTATGAGGCCCCTTCCAAAGGCATTTGGAAGACCACAGAGCAGCCGAACAAGTGGTTGCCTGCTCCTGAAAAGTTCGAATTAGCGGCTCACTGGTGGGCCGAATATAACTCTAGAACCTCGTTTGGCGCCGTTCAAAGGTTCTTTCCACTCCACCTCACCGAGTCAGGAGCAATCGTGTGTTTGTCTCCTGGCCTCAGAACTCAACAAGAGACTTCCCGAGGATGCAAAAGACGCCGCAAAGACGCGGCACAGGCCCCTGGACCTAAAGTAGAGGCAGGGCAGTGCGGAGGGCACCCATCAATTTTTCCGCCGTGTGGCGAAGGGCTGCGCAACAGGAGACGCCAAAGAGGCAAAACCTGAGGCACGCATGAACTGTGAGAGCACGCCGTTCTCGCTCGGAGGGGGCCTAAAGCCAAAGAGCACTTGTGCGCGCTAGGAATGAAGCGCTCAGGCAGAGTGAGAAGGGGAGTCTCTATGTATCTGGAAAGTAGCAAGCTTCTGAGCGGGGATAGCGGGTGGCGGCCAATGGCTAGAGAATATAGTCGCTCCCCCGTCCCGCTTTCCTTGTCTATCCCCTTCAGTGACTGCAGGTTTTCCATTTCGTCATTTTGTTGGGAAAACCATTTTTGTCTTCGGGCTTATTACGTGCCTCGTTCCAACCTCCGGCGCTGGGGGATCCCCCTTTACCGCTGGGCAGTCCGCAGGAGGACGTAGGGGCCTCTACCGTCTGCTAGTGTCTCTTTGGCCGCTAGTACGTCGCATCAAAGGCCCTAGCGAAATCGAAGGTACAGTGTATAGCTAGGAGGCGCGCGAATAGCGCTGAGGATGCTCGTTTTGGGTGTACCTACAGCAGACGGGTACTACTGTGTAGTGCTTGAGCAGCTGAGCCCCAGTGCGGTGCTTCCTCTCGTACACCAGTGCAAAGTACAGACAGCAGACCTTCCTCGCTACATGGGCTGTAAAGTTGCGCCCGACTGGCCCCCGTCTAACCAAAGTAATCGAGTTGCAACCAAAGGCGAGTCACGGGGACCTCTTGAATGGAATTAATGGCACAGAAGAGTGGCCTGTCACTCTTGGGAGGTGCCCTACTCGCCCATCGATTAAGGCCGCCTGATGGAACGGTCCCCTCTCTCTTGGAGGTCTCCGCGCCGTACAAGGATGGAGAGAGCCCTGTAGTGATGCATGCGCAATATCCGCAGACGCGCGCTCATGTTGGCACCAGTCCTTTGGTGAATGGCACCCATATTGTCATCAGGAAGCCACATTTTTTTATGCCAGTCATGTCAAGCAAATGAAATTCTGGTGATTCTGAAATCCTGGCCACACATTCATAGCTTCCCCCACACGGCCCCCCTGCATTCAGGAGTACATTTTCGCTTATAAGGGGGGGCGTCCTTCTACTTTTTGAGTCTCACCGCTGAACAACGAGCTTGTCGTATCCCTGCTGCTGCAGATCCCTTACAATATTGCGCCTCAAAGCCCTCTGCCCGGGCTGCAGTCGGCCCATAAGCGCATCCTCAGCCAGCTGTATAGACACCCCGCAGGACACGCACACAATGCTACCTGCGAACACCTATGGTGCTAACGGATGTTTGGGGAGTTCTCTCTCGCACAGCCCAGGGAGGACAGCCTCAAGCTCAAAATGCATCGCTTCTCTCTCTCTCTGCAAAGCAGCTGGCTAGCCATCTCTCTTTCTCTCTAAACAGGCTACGCTTTCTCATTCGCTTGGACGGACACTTCAGGGGTGACACACTGCAACTTTTTCTGTCGCTAGATAAAGTCCTTTCCTGTAAGGGACCCCCTGCGGCCCACCTTGACTGCCTTTTGCTGCAAAGGCGTTAAAGACTCGAAGACGAGAGCATGCTTCGCAGTTTCTGCCGTTGATGCAGAGAATAGATCGATAGCCCTCTTGACGTGAGACGCCTGCGCAATTGGCGCTAGCTCCATCCGCGCGAAGCTGCAAAAAAACGAATTCCATCCACCACACAGAAATACTGACACTGCCCGAGGCAGCGAGGCGTGCATGCAGGCTGCGCGCAAATGTGCGACCTGAGCAAAGGCCCATGCGTCTCGCATCTACAAAACACTGGCGAGCCCACAGAGCGCGCGTTGGTGTGCCGTGTGTCGAGAGTCTTTTTGTCGCTTAAGACCGTGTCGGTCGGCATTCGAGGGAGGGTCGACAACACACCTCTCGGCTATGCGGACGAGGGATTCGAGCTGACGAAGCGTAATAGGAATTTTCCGAGTGACAGAGCGCCTGTCCTCTCTGACTTCTTGTCTGCACAGAGCGAGAGAGGGGAAAAAAATGTGCAGTAGAGGGTGTGCTGTGAAGGATAAAAGGTCTCAGCAGAATGCGTGAGGGGGTTGCAGCGAAGGCGTTCGCTTGCGCTGCCGCTGAGGCTACCGCAGCCTCAGTGGTATGTGTGCCAGGGCAGCGGAGAACCCTCGTGGTGTGGCTTGTCTTCAGTGCTCCGCGAAAAAATTGTCTGCATGCGCTACCAAAGATCCACGCTTTGCAGGCAGGTGGCATCGAGGCAGTTTTCAGGAAAGGGCAGAAAAAACACGCCGGTGAAAAGCCCGAGAAAAAGGCGGATAAAGAGCGCTCAAAGAGGGTCAAAGTGGAGAAGCGCCAGAGTCCGTGAAGCATGCAGGCTGCTAGCACTGAGAAGGCAGGAGGGAGGGGGGGGTGGAGCAAGTCAGAATTGCATGGCACAGGGAGCACGCGACACGAGCCGCAGAGACGGCGTGGCGGGGAATACACAGTCCCTCGAGCGAACCTGGTTTGGACGTAGAAGTTCTTCAGAGCATCTCGGGCATCATGAGAGAGCAGGGGCTGCTGCTGTTGTCGAGCAAACTGGATGTAGTGTCTGAGCACTTCGAAGGGAATGATTTCCCCCTCCTCGTGCTGAGGTGGCTCTGCTCGGCGCTGCTCGAACATTCGGAGGGGAGAAAGGAGTACACCGACAACCCCATAAGCACACAGAAAGAGACAAGGGCCAAACTCCCAAGATAGCGGTTCCCCGCTGCCCTATCTCTGCCCTGCAAAACAGCATCTGTCGCGGCAAACGTCTTGCTCCGACGCCACAGCGCAGCCTGCGGCGCAAGCCTTACAGCATGCAGATTGAGGATGTGCTCGCACAGGCGGGTATCCTTTTCGTAGTCGTCCTTGTCTCGCAGCATGAATATCAAGTCGAACCTGCATCAAGAGTCCGCAGTGTGACGCAACACAGACTACTCACGCATGTAGAAAAACTGAACTCCAAGGAAATCCTGGCAGAGGCACACTGACGCTGAACTTCTGCAGCACAGAACCCCAGGCCTCGTTTGCATGCGCTTCTACTCCACCCAGCATGCATTCTTCTCTCTCTCCACAAAGCCGACTGTCCACGCGCATTGCTGCTGCCTCAGTCGGCCTCTCTGCAGCAATTACCTCGAGAGAATGGTTGCCTTGAACTCGTGCTGCTCCGTCGTGTCTTGCGCGTCGTCGAAGCTGCCGAATGAAGGGTTTGCAGCCGCAAGAACGGCGCATCTGCAGCCAGCAGATACATCCAGAAGGCCAAATAAAGCATTCCAAAAACTTGCTTCACCTTCGCTCTGGCCCTTCCGCGATTCTTCCGAAAGCATCGCGTGCGAAAGCCTGTCGCCATCGGGCTTTGCGGGGAAGGGACGCAACGGTGGAGGAATGGTACAACCATTACTACTACTACTAGCAGTAATAATAATAGTAATAGTGACAATAATAATAATAATACTCCCCCCTGTGCACACGTGTGGGCTGCAGCACCTCGAGTTTAAGACTGTATTTATTCCCGCCTTGGAAATCGAAATGGTCTGCTGCTCCATGGCCTCATGCATTGCCACCACATCTCGCTCCTGCATCTTGTCAAACTCGTCTACGCACACGACGCCTCCATCCGCCAGGCACATGCAGCCCCCCTGTAGCCACACAAAGGCGACACACACATACACAAACAGACACAAACAGACACATACTCCGGCCCAGAAGGACATGCAGGAACGCGAGCTTGCATCCAGACAGGATATTCCTCAGCAGCATCCCTCCGAAAGTGCGAGACACGCTACATGAGGGGGCACGTAGGAGAGGCCCTCCAAACAGTCCAACCAAGGCTACAATCGAGACACCCACCGAGCCACTGAGCAACGCACCTCCAGACTGAAGACGCCATGACGATCTCTCATGACTGCTGCCGTTAGACCGGCTGCTGAGCTTCCTTTTCCTGAAAATATCAAGGCAGCTCGCCCCCGCAATCCTTGCTGCTTCGCTAAGCGCTGCCGTCGTTGGCTGTGCAACCGCAGTTGTGGCGAGTAGTGTGGGGTCCTATTACACGCAAAGAAACGCTCTGGCCCTACCTGAAGTGTAGACGGAGATGGGCGCCAACTTCGAGACAAACTTGAGCACTTGGCTCTTCGCGACAGAGGGATCGCCCAGAAGGAGGACGTTGATGTCTCTACAAACGCAGCGAACGAAAGCGCGAGCAAGCCGCGGCAGCAGCAGCGCACAAGCCTCAGTGCTTGCGTCAGCTCTTGAGTGCAGCTGCTACTGCACTAAAGAGCTCCTCGCTCAGCGCTTTTTTTCGAGACCAGGAAAGACACGCTGCGCAACGTCGGCTTACCCGCGAATGCGTGTCGTGTCATTTATAATTTTGGCTGTGCCGCCGAAAAGGAGACAAGCACACGCTCTCTTTACTTCTATCATTCCGAAAAGAGCCGGCGCGATCGACCTGCAAAAAACGCAGGAGGGCAGTTTGCCGCTTGCAGTGCATTCGGACGCCGAAAGGATACAACTACGTGGAGATGTACATCCATATACACAAATAGATTCACACGTGCCCTCTTCACTTAGGGGTCTTTAGCGTTGCGGGCATGCACACTGCTAAAGATGCAAAATGCGGCGAAAAATACGCAAAGCGACAGAAAAGGAGCGAAGGACAGGGTCGAAGAAAGGAGAGAAGGGGCAAAAAACAAGCAAACATGTGGCTACGTTGAGGAGTGAGAGCCGCTCAGGAGTACATACATATATACATATATAAATATGTATTAAAATGTGTATGTACATACATATACATATATATATATGTATATGCACGTGTAGGTACACCTTAATACTTGAGGCGAAAGCCGTTTATCAACAGAAGGATGGTACCTGGCGATTTTATCGATAATATTCGGCTCCTGACTTAGTCTGAGAAAGAGCGACCGCTGTTCTAGGGAAGTGAGGGTCGTGAGGAGGGGAGAAAAGTTTATTTTCTTTAAACCAAGGACGTGAATGTACGCCTGCTGCGGTCCGCTGTTGTCTGCAGCCAGCCACGCAAATATCTCGATGTACATTCAAGTACAAATAGGTGAGCAAGAAGCGTCAGAAAAAAGCCTTACAACAACGAGGAGCCACCCGCAGGTGAGGCGCGAGAGGGCTGACACACGACGGGAACGGCCCCAGGAAGAACGAATTGTCAGTCCCAGTGGACAAGAAAATAGAATACAGGCAGTCGACAAAAACGTCAAGAGCATATATATAGGGAGCGTGTTTGCGTGTGGGGAAGGCAAAGGAAGCGTGTGCCGAGGGTGTCGAAGCCGGTGGTATCTGTCTCTCTCTCTCTCTGTCCCTCTCTCTCTCTCTCTCTCTCTCTCTCTCTCTCTCTCTCTCTCTCTCTCTCTCTCTCTCTCTCTCTCTCTCTCTCTCTCTCTCTCTCTCTCTCTCTCTCTCTCTCTCTCTTTCTCTCTCTCTCTCTCTCTCTCTCTCTCTCTCTCTCTCTCTCTCTCTCTCTCTCTCTCTCTCTCTCTCTCTCTCTCTCTCTCTCTCTCTCTCTCTCTCTCTCTCTCTCTCTCTCTCTCTCTCT